ATAAGATCAAATAATGTGGAGCTAAACCAAGACTAGACAAACCTTCTGCCAAGTGCCCCCCTTGGATAAACATTTGAATATGATCGCTTCTATGGATGCAAAAGCCTGACTGCCCTTTAACTTCTTGAGAGCTTGCGAAGCGTCTCCAGTTTTCTCCCAACACCGCACTGCATCTCCAACAGTTCCCAGATATCCTAAGAATGTTGTAATTCAGCTCTTTTGAAACCAAAAATTGGAAAGCCATCCCTGAGATTTAGTTAAGAAGTACAAATGTATATGCAAAATTGTAACAATAGGCATGTGACTTTCAACACATTAACATCTGCTCTTAACATAATTTTAGACCAAGGCGATCTCTGAATGTATACCAGAACAATTTCACTTCATATGAATACTTGTATTGAATTGAAGATGCGAGAGAGTAATAAACGAAACAAACAACATAAATAGAAATAACCAAAAAGTGAGAAAAGGGTAGCCATAATTCCTTGCCTGGCAAATGTTCATTTGACAAAATCAACCGAATAGCCGCTTCCCAATCTCGGCGCAGAATATGTTTCCCAACAGTTGCAGTATTAGTGTCGCAAGATCCGAATCTTTGGGTACCTCAAGTAAACAATCAATTTGGAAAATATGGCGAACATACTACTGAAACTTACCAAAATAATTAATAAACCCGTCTTGTCCAAGTTCTTTCAACCTTTGCTCAAGGATGTCTTGGTTTGCAGGAGGTATACTTCTGAGAAAAATAATTTTGGAAAACTTTTACTGAGAAGAAAAATTATTACAGAGCATCCCTGAAGATATAGAAAAAATCATGCCTTAATATGATGCTGAAGCGATTTCCCCAATGCCCACCCATTTTTAACTCCTTATCATCATAGCTGAAGTCGTACACTAGAATGTCTCTAAGGCGTGGATTCAAGCTCAATATGCGCTCCTTAAGAAACAGAAGTTAGGGTTTTGGAGAGGAATGAAATAATGATACTTTTTCTATCCTGTTACAGCTAACTCGCTGACAAGTAACTGCACGACGATCTTTGATGCCATGTGTTCGAAAGGTATTCGTTGTTACGCTTGAAAGTGAGATATTATTGCGGAGAACGACGATAGCGCACCAATCATGACTTACTTAAGAAATTTTGCGATAAGTCCAAGTGCATAACTTGTATCCTTGTTTTCCTTAGCCAGGGTAAAATAGCAATGATTTGGGCAGTCTTTAAACCACCTCTTCCGTTTCCTAAAAATGTATACATAAATTTATAAATATAGATAAGAAGATAAAATTATACATCGTTTGTTTCGATGAGATGGACTACATACTACCCCGCCAGTAGTGAAAATGCATGCAGCGCTCTCACAACATATTTTTGGGATGCGACGTAAACGCGCACTGCCGCGCAAGCATGTCACTCCTCTCAGTCGAACACAGACTATACAAAAACTCCGTTACATAAAAACAATGTATATAAAGCATACTAAAGCATACCTTCCCTTACTATTTACACCGCAGTAACTGACTTCGATGCCTTTCTCGCTTGTTTCCGAGCCTAGTTTCCCTTGATATCGCAATCTAAGGAACTCGTGAATAGCCTTTCTGTCGTCTTTACTGAAGCCCTAAATGGCGAGTTAAGACAAACCTGAGCGGACTGAAGAAAATCATGAACTTCCTATATCTAATCCAACACTTGCACACTTTGCAATACTTTTGCGTACGGTTATCTGTTTTCGGCTAAATCTCTTGAAAGTTTTACAGTCGGATAAGGTATAGTGTGCTTCTCTCAAAGAGATTTAAACATCCGGGTTTTGAGAACATAACATAAATTTCTCTTGTACTCTTCCTGATCCAATGGTCATATAGCAAAACAGATATGCACAAACTGCTGCACAATCGAATGGTATCACGATTCTAGAAAGGATTAAACTGCAAATCCTATCTCATACAATGATATATTCACAGCTTATCTCGAGAGCTTTGAAGACTTCACCA